GTGTGTGTGTGTGTGTGTGTGTGTGTGTGTGTGTGTGTGTCTGTCTGTCTGTCTGTCTGTCTGTCTGTCTGAGCATCCAGAAGAGGGCACCATGTCCTCTGCAACTGGTGTTATAGGCAACTGAAAGCCTTTGTGTGGGTATTAGGAACCGAACCCAGGTCCTCCGAAAGAGCAGCAATTGCTTTTAACTTCTGAGCCACCTCTCTAACCTGAGGCTGTTTTCTTATTTTTCTGTGATGCACAGTGGTCCAGGGAGTGGCCTGCATGTGTTTTATTTCAAGCATGCATGTGTGCAGATTCAACACAGTGGTGGAGGAGGTTACTGGAACTACTGCCGTTTAATGCAAGGGCTACATTAGATTACTTAAGGAAAGAAAGAGAGGCTGAGTCTGACCTTAGGCAGGGCCATGTTTATTCATAGAGAGGTGGCGCTTTTGTCTCCCACGTGTGCAGATGGCCAAAATGCCTCCAGAAGAAGATGGGATACAGCCTTTTATAAGGGTGGGAATGACTTCCACAGTCTGCAAGGGAAGGTGGGAAGTGTAGTCTTCCAGCAGGAAACAGTCAGGCTGTGCTGAGCCCTGAGGGCCCATGTGTCTGTGATCGCCTGTGGAAAGCTGCTGTGGTGTATGGGGTTGGGCTCGGGTCAGCCTTGCTGTCCAAGTGAGGGAGCCAGCGACTCGTGGAGGAACTTGCTTCCTCTTTCCTATGAATGAGTGACTACAATAGCTTCATTATTTTTCCTGGGAACTTCTAAAATTGGTGTATAGGCAATATTTACTAGATTAACTATTTACATTTATTTGTTTGTTTGTTTGTTTATTTATTATTTATTTTGTGTGTGTGTGTGTGTGTGTGTGTGTGTGTGTGTGTGTGTGTGGTGTGTATGTAGGTGCATGAGTGTCGCTGTGTGCATGTGGAGTTCAAAGGACAACTTGTAGGTTCATCTTGTGGGTTCCCAGGATGGAAGGAACTCAGCTAAAGTCCCATTACCTCCGGAGCCTATGAGGACATTCTCATTCAAACCAGCATATTCCACTCCCGGCCACCATAGACATGTAGCCATATCATAATGCAAAATTCACTTAGTCTGTCTTCAAAAGTCCCCCAAGTTTTTCAGTCTCCACACTGTTTAAAAGTCCGAAGTCCAAAGTCTCTTCTGAGGCTTAAGACAGGCTCTTAATTTACATCCTGTAAAATCCCAAATGCAGATTACATGCTTTCAACATACAATGCCACAGAATATACGTTATCATTCCAAATGGAAAGAATGGGGACATGGTGAGGAAATGCTGAACCAAAGCTAGGTTTCTGTTGTGGCGATCAAACACCATGACCAAAAAGCAAGTTGGGGAGGAAAGGGTTTATTTGGCTTACACTTCCAGATCATAGTCCATCATTGGAGGAAATCAGAACAGGAACTCAAGCCGGGCTGGAACCTGGAACCAGGAGCTGATGCAAAGGCCACAGATGGGAGCTGCTTACTGGCTTGCTTCCCCTGGCTTGCTCAGCCCACCTTCTTATGGAACCCAAGACCAGCAGCCCAGGGGTGGCACCACCCACCATCAGCCGGACCCTCCCCCATTGATCACTCATTGAGAAAATGCCTTACAGCTGGGTCTCATGGAGGCCTTTCCTCAGCTGAGGCTCCCTCTTCTCTGATGACTCTGTAACTTGTGTCAAGTTGGCACACACAACCAGCCATTACGCAAAGCACGCCCGAAACCCAGCAGGGCCAACTCCCAATCCCGCAGCTCCACGTCTGATGCCAGGGGCCTGGATGGCTCTGCCCTTCCAGCATAGCTGCCTGCAGCTCACTGCTGTGCCCAGATCGTAACCCCAGAGAGACCACCAAGGACGAGCACACCAGAATGCAAAAGCAAGGTTTATCTGTTACAAGTCATGACAGGGAACTCAACTCAAGCCATCTCAAGTGAGGCAGAGAAGAGTTCCTCTTTCTTGGGGAAGTTAGTTTTTATAGGCAAAACCCATAAAATTTCTTAGAGGAGAGGGGGTTAGTACGGATCCATCCTTGATTGGTCCAGTTTTTCCCGGGCCTGGACTTTATCTTATTCTAGCTTATCTGTTTGCCCTGTCAGGAGTTTTACAACTCATCTCCGGGTTATCATGTTATCTCCGGAGAGGGGCATCTCGTGGTTAATTGGTTACCATCAGACATCCTGACTCTGTTCTTTTGTTCCTGGGGCTGGCGCCATCATTTCTGGGGACTTGAAACTGGCCTGGGTCTATCTATATTGAGATATCTTTGTCTAAGACCCCCTTTTTGAGACAATAGAGTGAGGGTCTTGTTGTACCTAGATCACGTCCCCAAAGCTGCCACTGGAGACTTTAGGTACAGAATGCAAAAGTAAGGTGTTTTCTTCTAAATTTACAAGCCTCCAGGGAGGCTCTTCCAAATCTCTCACTCACAGCAGGGAGGTTGGAAGGAGTGCTCCCCTTTCTTTGTGAGGCTAGTTCTTAAAGGCACCGGTCATATAGTTTATTTTAACCCGCCTCCCTTTTTAGTCTTTTGGTCGAATATCCTGACTGTTTTCCAAAGTCCCTGTAGCAGATACAGCCACCTGGGGAAAAGGGGTCTAAGTTCTTATTTACACTTAGGAATCCTGGTTTAAGCTTCTCTTTGTCTGTAGGGGATAGAGTGGGGGGTTTTACTGAGGTATCACACACACTTCTCTCACAGGCTGGTTCCACCCCCTCCTTACAGCTCTCCTTGGTAGACACCCCACGGCTCTGCCACCTCTGACGTCTTGGGGTCTCCAACACAATCCAGGCTTCACTCCCACAGCTTCACACAATGGCCCTTCCAGGCTTTCATGTAGGGACTCCTCTGACACACACCTGTCCTCAGAGGCTTTCCCTAACCACAGAGGAAGATTCCACAACCCCTTACTCCTGTTTCCTTCATGGCTCCAAAGCTGGAATTACAGGGCCCGTGCTGCTGGCTTCTCCTTGAATTACATTGAAATAAGCTTTGATTTGTTGATATGCTTTTAGGACCAGATAATTCCTGGGGCCTTTTCTTTTTATAAGTGGGTGGGGTCTTGCCCTGAGGGCAGCACTCCCTTCATCCGGTATGGATTAGACCTTGCCTCACCTCTTTCAGCACAAGCCTTGGTTCCAACATTAAATTTCCTGCTGCTGCTTTTCTCCTCAAACTACATTTTGCATTTGTTTTTGCCATTTTTGTGTTAGATGTGCTTAAGAATTACTACTACTAATCATGTGACAGAGTCAATATTAGGCTGTCTTGACATCTCTAAGATCAACATAATTAGTCCCAAACTCTCCAACTAAGCCTCAGGCAGATTCTTAAGACAAAGGCAAAAATCAGCCACATCCTTTGCCAAAATATTTTAAGAACTGTCTTTAGCCTAGCTGCTGATATTGCTCCTCTCTGAAACCTCCTGAGCTGGGCCTGTTGACAACATCACTCCTAGCACTGCTGTCTTCCAAGTCCCTACTAGGATGGCCCATTAGGCCCTGCTTACAGTGTTCAACTGTGTTCCTAGTCCAAAGTCTCAAGGTCTTCCAGTTCTCCCAAAAATAGCATGGTCAGGCCTGCCACAGCAAAAGCCCACTCCCTCTTACCAACTTCTGTCTTAGTTATGTTTC